CACAACACAAGGACAATGACATTTAGAGGTGTAAATTTATCGCGTTAATTGCGAATAATTACAGAACTATTTAATTTGAAATTGAATTGAAAAAAATAATTTAAAACGAATAAAGGTGCTTTCTCAGCAATTTTGAGATGAGATTAAAATATTGATTAATTAGATCAATTAATTACAGATCATAATTAATTCATCTCACTTTTTTTTAATCTCTTGACAACACTAAAGACATTCAAACATCTTTCTCACAAGTGATACAATGTGTAGATTGGCCAAGTAGCTTGGAGAAATTCAATTCTGATCTGAGAAAAAAATCAGAGGAAAAAAAACAAATAGGCTAGATGAGGAAAATTAGCCATTATTATAATTAGCAATTGTGAGCATTTGAGTCTCAATGACAGAGCACAATTTGAAATCCTCGGCCGCCCGCGCTCTCTCTCAAGCAGTCATCTTGCTGTAATGTTCGCAAAATGTAAAATCCTTGTTAAACTGCCTTTGCAGCTTCAGCAGTAAGGGCCGCGAGCGTGCAGGAGCCGATGCCGCCGGTCTTTGGGCAGTAGGCAAGCTTTTACAATGCCTTCGACGAAGTTCTTTTTATTGTTCATCACTTCTCGTCTCATCCACTGATTTGAGACGGTGCAAGCCACACCTGGCCGACGACGCTCAACAATCTGTCTTTCCTCCTTGCTTGCACTTACTGCTTCGCAAGTCTGTAATAACATTAGCCCGTGTGGAAAAATGTATCACCACAAAACCCCGAGATACAGGGAAAAAAAATCGTCGATAATGAGAGAGGTGCGATTTCAATACCTGCTATTGAGGCCGCAAAAGGTGAACCGTGATATGGCAAGGTACGACTATATTGCGACATCATTTTCATCTTGGGGAATGACAGGAAAGGCACAAAATGACGCCGATTGTCGCGAATTGTATCTTTTCACCAAATTGCTGATCTTGGATTACACAATAAATAAATGTTTTTTTTTTTAATGCGGAGGTGATTCCTCGACTAGGCTCAGGTAGTGACTGAACCACATTTGAAGTATTTGGTGCTAATGTTTTGAAGTCATCCTAGAACTTTGACTCTTCCACATAATAAAATGTGACACGGAGATGCGAGAGCACAAGAGAACACATTTATTTAAAAGGTCGAACTGACCAGGAAGGTGTCGAGGGGGTGGGGGGGGGGGGGAC